GGGGACGACAGAGGATGAGATGGTTGGACAGTGTTATCGAAGCTACCAACATGAATTTGACCCAACTTTGGGAGGCAGTGGAAGACAGGAGGGCCTCGTGTGCTCTGGTCCATGGGGTCACGAAGAGTCAGACACAATAACTAAACAACTACAATACAATTTACTACATGAAACAACAGGTTTTTGGCCAAGGTCACATAAAATAAGACAGAACCATAATAATGCCACATGATTCTGTTCTGAAACCTTTAATGGCATTTACAAGTTACAACAACACAAGCAAGATAGGAAAAGTAAAATTAGATTTCACAAATTAGGAGCGCGAAGCAGGGGACAATTTCAGAATTGCAGCTAAGAAATCTGCAACAGCAGCGGTCAGGGCATTACATTCATCGCTCATGAAAATAGAAAGAATTGTCTCAGGAGAATTGGAAAAATAAGAAATCCAAGGTTCAAGAAAAAAAGTTCAGAGGTGGGAATGAGCAGGGCATTGAAACAATATATTAACGAGCGTGTCAGTCTCTAAACAAAAAAAAACCAAAGTCTTTTTTCACAAGGGATACTGAGAAATCAACCGGAATGGGTGGCCGAAGGAAATATGTTAAAATGGGCTAACATAAAAGCTCTTCTTAGATGTGGATTTACTAGGGAGTGGAAATATTTGGGAGAGTGATCCTGAGATGGAAAAAATCCAACAGAGAGAGGGGAACATACAGGGTTAAGGTTATTGCATAGGTGATTGAATTCGACGTGACAGAGCTTGTCCTTGATTATGGAATAAGCCATGGTGAGATTCATATCTACCAAAGATTCCAGGGATAGGTGAAGAGTTTCTTTTCAATAAGCTGGAACCAAGAAAAGGAGTAAGAATCGCACAATAAATCATATATCAGGGATCCAGAATGTGAATTTAAAAAAAGACGGAGCCAAAATTTAAATGTAAGTAACCAAGCAGTTGTGGAAGGTAGGTGAATGCCCAGTTCTAAAGAAATAGTAGAAAGCTGAATTAAGTTAGGAACTCCTAATATTCTGCGAAAAAACGTTGCTGCAACTTGATCAATATCCAAATTAGCTGAGTGTATCCATATAGGCACACCGTACAGCAACAAGATGACAAGAGCGAACATTGACATCCTGGTTGTCAGTGAATTGATGTTGGGAACGTGTGAAGGCAAGAGGAGAAGGGGACGATAAAGGACAAGATGGTTGGACAGTATTATCGAAGCTACCAACATGAATTTGACCCAACTCTGGGAGGCAGTGGAAGACAGGAGGGCCTCGTGTGCTCTGGTCCATGGGTTCACGAAGAGTCAGACACAACTTAATAACTAAACAACTACAATACAATTTACTACATGAAACAACAGGTTTTTGGCCAAGGTCACATAAAATAAGACAGAACCGTAATAATGCCACATGATTAACAAGTTAGTTTCAGGAAATGAACAGCGGAGCAAAAATAGCAGCTGTGGATTAACAAGTTAGTTTCAGGAAATGAACAGTGGTTAACTATGGTCACAATTAGAGATCGGGGTATTTGTATATGAATATCCCCGCGCAGCTGGAGTTAATGAGGGTCTAGCCCCTGGGGATGGAATGTTCACTCACACGTCTGCCACCATTGCTGGCCCTGCTAATCCTTCCAATAGCTTCAGAGTGCCATTCTCTTCCTGGTCATCTAGCCACTCTTGGCAGAGGAAGGGAAGACAAGTCTCCCTGCAAGGCTAGCCAAGTAGCAGTCTGGAGTGATTAGAAGAGAGGGGTTACCACCAGATGTGTGAGTGGATGGTCCATCTCCAGGGGATGAACCCTCATTAAGTCCAGCTGTGTGGGGATATTCGTATTTGTATACAAATACGAACACCCCCATCTCTAGTCACAATGTTTCAGAGTAAAGTCAGCATAAAAAATAGAAAAAGAGTTTTGTGGCATCTCAAAATGTAACAAAGGTATTAAAGCAATTTACTACAGTACTAGCTGGGGGTGAAACTATACTTCTAGCTATTATATATTGCTAAATTAACACATGCTTTATGAAAGTGTGTTAGGGTGGCTATACTGAAACTAGGGATGTATTTTTCAGCTGCCTCTCTTGAATAAACTGGTAAAGTCAAGTGTTCCTTCAGCAATTTCAACATAGTTTTGAACGGTAGAAATGTATCAAAATATACATTTAAATACTACTTTAATAAACAAAGTACATTAAGATATATGTTTAAAACATCATGGATTAATATATAGCCTTGCTGGTAAGTGGACAAAACCAAAGTAAAATTAGAGATGTCTTCAGGCATAAGGCATGTCTGATGTTCCTTAGTGCAAAGTACAGAACTGGTCCAAAATCAGCTCAGTGGTACTACCACAGACCCCTTGCAGTGGCTAATCTAGCAAGCTCTCAGGGAGACTGCTACAGACCCCTTGCTGTGGTTAATCAGTGATCACTGATCACACTTCACCTTCTAGGGTTATCATACAGTCCTTTTCAAAATACTTCAGTCTTCTAAATGAGTCCTGCACAATTTCTGTCCCTCATTTCAGGGAAACATGATGGAGAACTTTCTTTTTCCCTTTTCTTTCCTTTCCTTTTTATTGTACATTCTCTGCCTTTTACAATCACAGTAGAATGTGAAATGATGCAATTTGCAAAGAACAAATAATCCTAAATTTGCCTTTGAACTACTATTCATAGTCTTTAAGTGAATCATCAGTCTCAATAAGATTGTCAAAAGAAGCACCTGAGGGTTTCATTCCCCAGCTTCAAAACCAGACAGAATAAGTCCCTACTAGCTCCAGATCCCGGCAACAGTTTTCCACTGCTGCCAAAGAAAGATGGCACAGGAACAGTTTCCTAAGTATCCTTTCCATATGTAACATACACAGAGATGTACTGTATAAGAAGCCTAGCAACCAGTATTCTTTTCTTTTATTATCTAGCTGGCACGACAGGCTAGCTTGAGGCATACATGCAGGGAATGTACTGCTTCATGAGGACATAACATTTATTGGGGTTCTTAACACTGGAATATTGTGTTGGTTGTTTTAATGCATTTTAGAACTGTTTTACGCAATTATCATCAGCAGCATGTGCTGCCAAGTCAATTGTGACTTATGGCAACTCTTTTCGCAGCAGCATGTGCTGCCAAGTCAATTCTGACTTACGGCAACTCTTTTCAGGGCTTTCTAAGTACAGAATGCTCAGAAATGGTTTGCCATTCCGTTCTCTTGGGGGCACCCCAGGAATGTGTGGTTTCCCCATGGCCGTGCAGACTGGCTCTACCCACAAGAGGCACAGTGGGGAATCGAAGTCTACCTCTGGCTCCACAACCAGATATCTAAACCACTGGCCTATTCAGCCAGCTACCAGTTTTAATATTATATTTGTTTAATTCTTTTGAATACTTTAATACTTTATTGTTCTTAGCTTTTAATACTATCTGTTTTTTAATACTGTGAGCCACCTTCAGGTTACCTGGATAGTTAAGTTAGTGCCAGAGGTTGGGAGTTAATTTCCCAGAAAGGCCGGCCTGTGTGGCCTTGGGCTACACGGTCACAGGATGCTCACCACAAAAAGGAAACGGTAAATAACTTCTGAATAGTCTCTACCTAGAAAACACATTATTATTATTATTATTATTATTATTATTATTATTATTATTATTATTATTATTATTATTATTATTATTATTATTATTATTATTATTATTATTATTATTATTATTATTATTATTATTATTATTATTATTATTATTATTATTATTATTATTATTATTATTATTATTATTATTATTATTATTATTATTATTATTATTATTATTATTATTATTATTATTATTATTATTATTATTATTATTGTTGTTGTTGTTGTTGTTGTTGTTGTTGTTGTTGTTGTTGTTGTTGTTGTTGTTGTTGTTATTGTTATTGTTATTGTTATTGTTATTGTTATTGTTATTGTTATTATTAACATCAACAATAACAATAACAATAACAACAACAAAACAACAATAATTATATTTATAATGTTGTTGCTGATGCTGTTGCTGATGCTGTTGTTAAAAACACTAGGCGCAGTCAAAATTATAAAAACATTGTCTGGTATTATATAACAGATACAAATTTTAAAACCTAAGTATCTGTTAAATATTGGTGCAATATGTATGATGTTCCTAATATTATTTATTTTATTTTATTGGATTTCTTTCCTGCCCATCTAGACCAAAAGTCTACTCTGGGCAGCAATACAATGCTTCCGGTTTTCTGGTGATTTCTGAGATCTACAGTTGCTTATAGTACTATGTGAAATTGCTTGATATTGTTCTCAAAGCCCCAATGACTATGGGGACCACTAAAGTGTGTTTCTTCCAGAGGCGAGATGTTTCAATTGCCAGGTGTATGTAATTTCTTAGTTGTCCCAATTCTTTATTTTCTGCTCTGGCATCCCCTGGAATTGCAATGTCAATGATACAGACATTTCTTTATTCTATTACTACTATGTCTGGTGTGTAATGCTCAAGATATCTATCAGTTTGGATCTGGAAATCCCACAAGATCTTGACTTCCTAATTTTCTGACACCTTTTCTACCTGATGTGTCTGTTGTTGTTGTTGAGCCACCATGGGTCTTTTTCAGGCAGGGTATAAATATTATATATAAATAAATTCAAGAGGATACATGAACATTCTTAGTGCTGTCCACAGCAAATATATGAGGTGGTCTAGCACAAAATACAGAGGTCAAAAACACATATTCTTTGTCAACAATAAGAAATATAACCTGCACAACTGCTATTTGTGCAAGCCCCAGTGATTCCACATACAATCCACAGAAAAATCACCATTATTATCTCCTGAAATTTCCTTATCTGACTCCTCCCTAGAGCTCATGCCTTCATCTCATAAACTTAGTTGATCAATAATGGCAAGATATTCATATATTACCTATTAAGTGACTACTGTGCTTGACTATCTCACAATAGGATTCCCAAAGCAAATAAACTTGCTTACTGTTCTTGCATCCCAAAGAGACAAGGTCTTGTCTGCGGAGCTGGTGAGAATGATGTTGGAGAATGGAAGAAACTGGATGCTGTTTACTGAATCCTTATGGCCACGTAAGGTATATCGGCATCTCTCACTGTAAAAAAATGCAATATCCCAAGTAAATATTGTTGAATAAATAAGAAATACAGAAAGATAACAAATAATACAATAGGTCAGCCTGTTAGGACAGGATATATTGGGCAAAATCCTGTTGGCGTAATTTTACACATGTAACCCAGATCAGGCACCAGGAATATTTAATTTAAATTAACTGAAAGCTGTCTTTCCCTTTCAAGTCCCAAGGCTCCCCAGGGCTCTTTTTGCTCTGGAGAAACCTTTGGGAGCTTTAGGATGGGAGGAGAGAGCCTTTAATGATCAACAATCAGTGCCAATCCCTGTGGTGATTTTTAAACTATGAAAGCCGCTGGCCCTACCTCCATCCCCACATCCCAAGGCTGCCATAGGCTTCCTCAGGACAAAATGGAGCCCTAGTCAGGCTTAGAACCTTAAGGTGGGAGGGGGAATAAGAAGCTCTCCATAGGTTTTAAACTAAATATTTCCAGTGCCTGATGCAGGATACGCCAGTGAAAATTTGTTCAACAGGATTTTCCCCATTGTGTTTACATGGACACTACATTTATTTATTTCCAATATTTATACATGTTTATATAGAGATGATGATGATGATGATGATGATGATGATGATGATGATGATGATGATGATGATGATGATTTTAATACTTAATGTGTATGGATGATATTTGCAAGCTCTTCTAATAAACTGAATAGTCTATTAAACATTGTTAAGTCTTACAGTAGATACAGAATCATAGAATAACTGAGTTGGAACGGGTCTATAAGGCCATTGAGCCCTCTGCTCAATGAAGGAATACAAATCACAGCCAATCTGACAGATGGTTGTCCAATTTTCTCTTGAATGCCTCCAGCATTGGAGCGTTCACTACCTCCCAAGGTAATTGGTTCTAATATAGAATAATGAATTTTGGTGTTGATAAATGTGCCATGAACCACAAGAAAAGAGGCAAATTCTCAAAGGGCAGTAACTATGAGCTCACTAACAGACAGTTTATTCAGTGCTTAGAGGAAAAGAAAACCTACAAATATCTAGGCAACCATGAGAATCTTAATATGAAGCACAAAGAACTTAAATCATAATTCAGGAACAAGTACTTTGGTACAGTGAAGGCAGTACTCAGAACAGAATTCAATGCACAAGAGAAAATTACTGCTATTAATAGCTGGGCAACCCCAGCATTAACATTCTTTGGAAAGGATAGGATGGAAGTACAGTGGTCTTGATGATTTAAACAGGAAAACCTGAGTCCTCTTGTCAAAACACCAATGCCCTCATCCAAAGGCATGTACAGTGAACCTTTATTTGTCACAGACCATGGGTGAATATGGGTCTATCAGCCTCTACAGTCTCTGTATAGATCAAACAGTGAAACTTCAAAACTATTTCCATTGAAGCACAGTTCCACTTCATCAGATGATAATAGAAAAAGATAAAGAACTCACAGTTAGAGATGTAACCCACAAATCACGAATTGCCCCCCAATGACCCGATGAACAAAAAATCAATTTGTCATTTGTTGGGTCATTTCCCCCCACTTTTCCTCCTCTTGCTGTGCATAGCAAGAGGAGGAAAAGCAGGGACCAAAGTGATTGCGCAGCCATGGCTGTGGGACTGCATTGATCTCTTTCCCCCCTCCTCTTGCTAAGCCCTGCAGGCCATAGGAAAAGGAGGGAAAGGAAGGATCAAAGTGATCCTGCAGCACTTTGATCCCTTTCCCCTCCTCTTGCAAAGCCCCACGCAGCATAGCAAGAAGAGGGAAATCAGGTATCAAAGCAATCCTACAGCACCTTGATCCCTTTCCCCCTCCTCTTGCTAAACCCCATGCAGCATAGCAAGAGGAGAGAAAGCACAGATCACAGTGATTACACAGTAGCTGAGGGATCCCTTTGATCTTTTCCCTTCTCTTCTTATGCCGTGCTGGCATAGGAAGAGGAGGAAAGGGGAACCAAGCCATCGCCCAGCCCCAGGGATGGGATTCCCTTTGGGAAGGCTTTAGCAAGCCACATGAAAGGAAAGCCCTTCTCTCCTTATGCTGATCTGCGGGGCATAAGCAGATAGGGAACTAAGGGATGAATATAAAAGGGTTATATTCATTGCTTCATGTTTGTTGGGGTTCCTGGACCTCAAGAATATGAAGCAAGAAATATCTGGTGAATCAGAGATATCTAACTAATATCCTGATTCGTTTTTATAGTTGTCCCCATGTCTGCTTACAGTGTAGCAGTTTGCAGGTGAGAACCCACTTGTAATAATGAAAGTTTCACAACACATGGACTCATGACTTAAGAAACCATTACACTGACAGGACTTCAGTTACCTCCTGGATGATAATGTTGATAAGCAACAATTGAGCCTGTGGCTTAAATTCAAGTTGAAACTGAGGAATTCATACAGTCATTGAAAACCAGGTTATTTACACTAGATAATATCAGAAGATAATTATGAAACAAGATGTAAGTAATATATCCAGGGCCTGTCACAAATCTAAAGAAACAATTTGTTGTGTCATATTTGGATGTCCTAAGGTGAAGGTGGAGTTCCACAGGACATGAAGGATGCAAACATCGTCACAATGTATAAGAACAAAGTAGACAGGGGCGACTGCTATAACTACCATGGCATCTCTCTTATCGGTATTGTAGGGAAGCTGCTTGCCCATGTTGTGCTGAAGAGGCTCCAGGAGCTTGCAGACAGAGTCTATCCAGAATCTCAGTGTGGATTTAAAGCTAATAGATCCACCACTGACATGGTATTCTCCCTCAGACAGTTGCAGGAGAAATGCAGGGAACAACAACCACTCTTTGTGGCCTTCATAGGTCTCACAAAGGCCTTTGATTTGGTTAGCAGGGATGGCCTTTTTAAAATGCTTCCCAAGACTGGATGTCCACCTTGTCTCCTTAACATCATCATGTCCTTTCATGAAGGAATGAAGGACACTGTAGTTTTTGATGGCTCAAAATCAGACCCCTTTGACATCTGAAGTGGAGTGAAACAGGGCAGTGTCCTCGCACCAGCCCTGTTTGGGATCTTTTTTGCTGTCATGCTGAAGCATGCCTTTGGAACTGCAACAGAAGGTGTCTCATGCTATATAGGACTTTATAGGTAATAATCAGCATTTTGAATTGGGTCTGGAAACAGACAGTTAGCCAGTGAAGCTGTTGTAATCAGGGAGTTAAATGCTTCCTAATAACCCATGCCAGTCAGCAGTCTAGTTGGAGAATTTTGAACTAGCTTAAGTTTCCAAACACTCTTCAAAGGCAGCCTCACATAGAGTGCATTGCACTAATCCAAATGGGATATAACTAAGGCATATATCATTGTGGCTAGATCAAACACCACAAATTAGCCAGTGAAGCTGTTGTAATAAGGGAGTTAAATGCTTCCTAATAACCCATGCCAGTCAGCAGTCTAGTTGGAGAATTTTGAACTAGCTTAAGTTTCCAAACACTCTTCAAAGGCAGCCTCACATAGAGTGCATTGCACTAATCCAAATGGGATATAACTAAGGCATATATCATTGTGGCTAGATCAAACACCACAAGGAATGGGTGCAACTGGTACACCAGCTTTAATTATGCAAACACAGTCCTAGACACTGATGAAACCTGGGTATCCAAGCTCAGAATCCAAGAGCACACCAAGGTGCAGATTTCATTTTTTAGGGGGAATGTAACCCCATCCAGTACAGACTGAACCACAGATTTCCCTTGTGATTGACCATGGACATGTCTGTCTTCTCTGGATTAAGTTTCAACTTGTTTATCATCATCCAGTCCATCAGACAGTGGTCTAAGCATGGAATACCTTCCTTGAAATCAAATGGAAATAAGAGATCGAGTTGGGTGTCATCAGCATAATACTGATGGCACTGAAATTCAAAAGTCTAGATAACATCTCCCAGTGGTTTCACGTAGATGTTCAATAACAGGAGGGACAGGACTGAGCCCTGAGGGACACCACAGAACAATGGCCAAGGCATTGAACAGGACTCCATCAATATAACTTTCTGAGTTTGGCTATCCAGGAAGAATCAAACGACATTCAAACACATGGTGTCATCCCCCCCAGTGTCTAATCACACTCTTAATCTGGCATCTTGCTTCCCAAACATTCTACTGTGATGAATTCAGAAGACTTAGAGGAAGAATAAGAAGGCAGCAAAGAAGTATACTTTCTTCTTTCGTCATCTGTTCTATGCCTGTAGCTGATTCAAATCTGACATGGAAAGGAACATATCTCTTGCAAATATTCTCTTTGGGAAATCCCAGTGGTGGAGGCCATTTTATGAGGTAAGTATGTAAAGAATTCAGTGGCTTGTTAGTAATTCACTGCAATGTTAGATGAAAATAAATAAATAAATAAATAGGAACCATTCTAGTTTTAAGAGTTCATTCTACTTTGGAAAGGAGAATCAGGCTGCATCAGAAGACATGAAAAGTGCTAACAGAAGAGTGTGAACCATTACTTTAAAAAGAAAATTGCTGTATGACTCAGTGCTTTCGGGCTGCCATATATAATTGCTACCTTCCTCTGTTAAGAAAAGTAATGTGTTGCCTTATCTCTTACTGATGCCTTGTGTTGTCCTTACCAGCAGACAGAAAAAGAGAGTCAAATAATCTCTGATTTTCTAATTCTAATTGTAATTTGTTTCTTTCTTTCTTTGTTTGTTTAACTTATATACTGGACCAACTAGTGATAAACACTACTCTGGGTAGTCTACATCTAGAGTTGAATAAACATAAAGCAAAGCAAATCATAAATATAATTAAGAACAAACACGACATACAATCAATAAAACAACCATTGAATAAATCTATGAAAACCAGATGATGGAAAACAAGCAACCTGAAAGTAGTCTGCCATATTATGTTAACAGAAGATGCTCTCAAAGGCTTCAGTAAACAGCCTCATCTTTTTAAGTGCCAATTTTTTTCTAAAATGCAGTAAGAGGAGAGGCCAAGCATAGCTCCACCGGAAGCTCATTCCAAGGGGATAGG